AGAGAGAGAGAGAGAGAGAGAGAGAGAGAGAGAGAGAGAGAGAGAGAGAGAGAGAGAGATCACCTATTTTCCACTCTCTGACATCCGTTTCTGGTCCTTGCTAAGAGGTGGTACAGTAGCGAACATTGCATTGATCAGTGGGGCCAGATTAGCTCACCTTGGTGGAGTTTCACCTGGCAAGACGAGAGATCTGTGACTTGCTACAGTTTTTAGCACTGGGATTATGTGTACACATTGCCCTGGTGGGAGCAGTAATTATTGGCGCGATCCGTTTGAGGGTCTCATTTCTCCTCCGCTTCAACCCCATTCATGTGCACATTACGTTTCCCACACACCTGTTCTGAAGGGAAGCCGTCACCACACCTAGACCTGGTTCAGGCCTCCAATTTAACTTGGATTCAGTTGAACCAGATATGACTGCAGATGGCATCCATTTTTACCTGCTGTGGTCCCATTTGGATCTCGTTGGAAAAGAGTTTACCCCAGTGGGGATTTAGATGGACCAGCTCCACTCCAATTTGAATTTCGTCGTCCAACTCGACCCACCAAGGACGTTACTTACATCCAGTTCCAGTTTGATCAGAGTGGAATCAAGAATCAATTTGTGTTGAAGGTCGATCCAGATTGGTCAGAAATGAATCCCACGAGTCCTGACCTGATCTGGCCATTCTGGTCTACCAGGTTTCAGCTCAATGCCATTCAGGGTGGTATACGGACTTTGACTCTGAGACCTGAGAGTCAAGAACTTCACAAATCGTCTTGCTTTTCTTTCTTCTTTCTCTGTACCCTCCCCTTTCAACTCCAGCCAACGACCAAAAAGATTTCAGGAGCACCAGCACACCTCCTGAGGACCAAAAGATGGAGAAGGGAGCGGCAAAAGATGGTCTACCAGGGCCTGCCAGAACGCTTGCAGAAGAACTAGCTGGCAGTATTCGACGAAGGTTATGGGAGTAGAAGGGAGGGAAGGAGACCCTCTCACAGCCAAGCATCAGCTTGCTGGATGCCTGCTTGTAGGGAGGGATGGGCTGCTGGCGAAAGCCAAGGCTTAGCGAGGCGTCTGCGCTTGTCATGGCATCTGTGGGGAGAGAGGAGTAAGAAGTGCGCTCTCCAGAATGCCTACAGCACCACATCGCCATCCAACGGGAAAGACAAGGGAGACGGAGATGGCATGGAGAAAGGAGGGAAATCTTGAGGGGGAGAAGTGGGCAATGGAGCTAGAGCTTCCATAGTAACTTCAGGTGCGGGTGCAGGAGCAGGAGGAGGAGACGGTGGAGAAGGAGGGGGAGGAGGAGGGGGAGGAGGAATTAGAGGAGGAATTTCCATCCACAGGTTACCAGATATGAACGCAAATCCCGGTCGGTCTCCTGGCATTCCCAAATACGGTGCCACTTCCCTGTCAGTAAACAACCAGCTGAAGGGGACTCTGTAAGACGCATTGGCAGCAAACGATCCAGGTCCATAAGTGTTGTATTCTCCAAACAGCACATGTGACTCACGTCCCGGCCACCTACCCCATCCCTCGCCTAGGATGAAGCCGTCAATGAAGACGTTGGCATAGATGACCGTTGAGAAGAACCCCCACGGCCGTCCCAGGAACGACATTAAACTAGAATCCGCATCAGGCGCCCGTACAATGTACCCTCCATAAAACAGAAAACCTGTCCTGCTCTCCCTTACTCTCCTTGTCTGTGCGGTTATCCAGCCCGAGCCTCTCACATAAATGGTGCAATTGTTGAATAACACTGCTCCATTGCCAAAGATGAAGTCAACACTGCCCCAAATATTGCAGTTCTCGTAATACTGCCTTCCCTTACGGGCATATAACCTGCAGTTGCATTATTATCATTACCAATCATTCCTCATCATCAGTGCACCTTTGTATCGGGAGCGAAGATGATGCAAACGAAACGGCAATTGATTGAGAACATAAGGCAAAAGTTTCGCTGTTTGAAATTTGAAAAAGGAGGTCTGGACAATCAGTAGAGATTTGGTGACAAGGATTCATTTCAGGGTCAGCAGGTGTCTTCATAGCAAGACGATGAAGAAGGATGATGACAGCGATAAAAGAGAAGGGGGGAGGGGGGAGGGGGATTGGCAGGCCACAGAAAAAGAGGAGAAGGAAATTCCTTCTGAGCCTGAGGAAGATTGGAAAGGAGGAAATTCGTCCTGAGCCTGAGGAAGATTGCAAAGGTAACTGTAATTTAATGCTGAGATTGATGTGCAGCACAGCCAGCAAGACAGGTAGATGTGCAAACGGAGTGGAGGGCTGCAATAGCTCATATTACCGGGCTTACAAAAAAAAAAAAAAAAAGGAATGAATACTAAAAGGGGGGGTGAGTGGAATGGGAAGACCGCGCATCCTTACTCTTGTTCTGGACAAGATCACGTTTTCTTCATTTTTTCTTAACTTTTTTTTCAATTTTTTTTTGTTCACGGAGTTGGTGTTAACGGATGTCCTCAAGGACCAAAATACAAAAAAAAGAAGGAAGAGAAGAGTGGGTGTTCTTCAGCTCTCTTTCACAGCCGGTCTACCCTAAACAAGTCAGGGGACAGCATGTGAGCAGGGATATGGGTGGGGTATCAGAACAAGCAAACAAAAAGGAAAAGAGAAGGGTAGAGGAGAGGGGGACAAAAAACAGGATATAGCAGTCAGTTTTCAATTATGTTCATTGAACTTTATTCCGTCCCTTCTGCGAGGCCACTGCCTCTATAAGCCCCATTCAGCCCCTTTTCGGGAGCCTGTCGGCCGCCCTAAGTGAAGGCAGGCTCGACGAGGCCCTCAGGGCCCTATTCTGGCCACCACGCAACTCAAAAAAATTCAGGCAGTTGCGCAGCGCCAGTTGGTTGAGAGAATCCAGGCCCTGGGCCGCGTGTGTGAATGTATGGAAAGCAGGCCCTGGGCTGGATACGGGTACTGGGCCAAACACAGGCCAAAGGCAGTTGGGCGCATGGAACCACCTCAGGCCCTGGGCCTGTTCTCGTTCGTGCTGGGCCTCAGGCTACCGGCGCCTACTGGAAGCTTCCTGGGACTGGACGCAGGCAGGCCACTTCGATATAGCAAATGGCCTGCCTCCGCATTGCTCATTCGGGTGCTGGCTGCATGCTGCGCAAGCGCTGCTGCACTATTTGCTGGCTGGCGCCTATGCGCTCCCGGGCGAGCAGGGAAGGAGCACGCAGCCATAGCCGAGCTGCGCTGCTGTAAGCTGGGTGAGGCGCAGGGTGGTCCTTGGGTGCAAGTGGCATCTGTGTGTTGGGGAACGAGGTTGTGAGTGTGGCGAGAGACATACCTGGTGCTGGAAGCGTGCGACATTGGTCGTTGTATGCTCATACTTCGGAGAGCTGATGTCGTCAACATTCGACATTGTAGTCTAGGCTAGATAGGATTTGTCATCAGTAGTCTGGGCGTCGAGCGCCAGATAGGATATCAACATTGGTTCTTCATTGATGATGATGATGAGACATTACCAGCATTGTCAATTTTGAGCTCTTGGTGTCTTCTTATTTGGTGAAACTCGTGATGCAATTCTGTTGGTTCGAGGTCACGACTATCTGGTCTTGTGTATATGATGCTGTTTGATTGCTGAAGTTCACTATTGCTCATCTTCCTTGCACTTCTCCATTTTTGGTACTTTACCGGTGTTACCACAGGATCTATTTAACAATACCAACGAGTAGTAGAATACAATGTACATGTTATTCCGACACCCAATTTATGGCACTATTGTCTTTCACTGTCCTCGGGTTGCTCCTCCCTTTCTCTTGGCCATAGAACAGACACCCCGGCCCTACTGGTCTATCTCGCTTAAAATCTGGAGGGAAATCATGCAGCAGAGGATAAACAAACCAATATCCAAAGACGAAGTGTTGAGACAGCCGCTGTTTGGTAACCCTTGGATTAGAGATGAGTGGAACCACCCGTTGACCCTCTCCCGCAGAGGCAACAGATGGATTTCATGGATCAAACACGGAATATGGAGAGTAAGGGACATCGGGGATGAGGAAAAGAAAAAAAGCATCCCAGAAAGCTGGAAAGAGATACTCAAGGAAGACTTCACCGGGAAGACTGGCGAGTGGGGAGTCATAGGCCAAGACAACCGTCCATCGAAAGCCTACAGGTTCTCCCACCGACAGTCAACTTCGGATCAGCTATCGGTGTTCACCTCTTTCCCCATTTTAAACGTCAAACCGGATGTATACTTCATCCAAAACACGAATCCACAGAGGGACGTCCTCAATGCCTTCAGACTCCGCAGAGTAAGAACGCTAGGTTTGTGGCCTAAACAGATAATCCAAATCAAGACAGCGGCTCCGCACCTCGAGTTTGACCCCCACAAGTGGGCCTGGCCAGCAGAAAAAAACAAAACGACCAGCCCTCCTATCCCCATCCAAGATTACACAGTCAAACTCGGATATAAGATGCTCCTAACAACGAAAGGTCTAGAGCCAACGATTATGCACTCAGACTTCGCTCCATTTCCCTTCCAACATGCATACATGCAGGTGCCAATGGCAACACAACTTCCTCAAAATAGAATCAGCAACAAGCGTGAGATGGCGCAGTGCACCCACACAGAAAACTCAGAGATATGGCCTCCGGCCAGGAACGCAGCTCAAGTCAACTTGTCACATCTTGCGGCTATGGCGTCTGAGCGCCAGTCTGAAATTCCCACCCGAACACTGTATCCACCATCACACTCACTCACACACATGTACACACGCACTAGGATCTACCCTGAATGTCTACACACACATACACACACACACACACACACACACACTAACTACTGACTTTGTCACACTGGCGGCTATGGCCGCCGTCCTCTTCCTCCTCACCAGCGGCTATGGCCGCTCGCCCTCTTCCACCTTCGGGCTTCCTGATGACCACTTGTGACTCAACGCACAAGTCACTCAAGCAGCACTTCCATGTAGCTCGCAAGCGAATGAATGAATGGCTGGGCAGTGCCTCTTTAATTATACTGTTTCGTTTGGTGGTCTGGCCTGCCAGGTCCCAGGCCCTTGGCCGTGCAATTCCACTCTGGTACTTGCTGCTGGACTGGGACTACCTATACTTGTGCCTCTTCGAGGCTGACTGGGGACTCTTGACCTTTCAGAGACCGATGGTCTGCCCCCTACTGACTCCCAAAGGTCAAGTTGACTTTTCAGAGGATGTAGGGCCAGTTGACCTCTGGAAAAGTCAACTGTAAAGTTGCCTTTTCCGGAAACTTACGGACGACCCTAAGACTCCTAAACCACTGACCTACGGATCAAACCTCACATGACCCAACTCATACATGCAAGACATTGATACACGGTTTTGGGGACAGGTCACGGGTTCAAAACTCATAGGGTCAACGGACAATTGTACAGTGGGCTAGGCGAGAGTCCTGGTATCTGCAACTGTCGCGCGAACTGGGTGAAACCCTTTCACTCCCGCCATTCTAAATTCAAGCTCCTCTGAGAACTCTTTAATTCAAAAGGCTGGACCTTTACCTTTTCTTGCTCCTTTGTAAGCATGCACTATGTTGGGAGCGGTTTCTAGAAGCTCGGTCCTTGTGAACCATCCGTCGCCCTCCGATTCCTGGTAAGCAAACATGACTTTGTACTGCTTTTGGGGACGACCTCTGCCTCTGTTGCGGAATACATCTTCTTCCAGTATTCGGTCTATGTCATAGGTGCCATCCATATCTGGCGGAATCATCGATCTCCGCAAAGGAAACTGTTGACTGGTGACACAAGGTAATAACTTTGATGCATGGAAGACCAGATACGTATGGAGGTGAGGTGGAATCTCTATCGTATATGATGGTCCATCCTCCCCACCTTTGACTTCTAGGACAAGCCACGACCCTCTATACGCAGGCAAGAGCTTCTGCGAGATGTTTTCGTCTGGTTGCGAATTCCTTTGACTTGACCCAGACTAAGTCGCCTACCCTGAATTGCGAGGGTCTGCAATGCCTATTCGCTTGTTAAATCATGCGACGCTGGGCTTTTCTAAGGTTTTCGATCACACTATGAACTTCCTTCTCGTGCTGCAGAGCAAACTCTCTTGTCCTTTGAATCTGGTCCCGATTAAGTCCTTCAAACGGCCTATGTGGTCTAACGGACTTATGCAGCTCGTTAGGAGTCCTGCAAGTAGCTAGGCGTATGCTGTTGTTGTAGGCACTAGCTACTTTGGGAAGCATCTCGTCCCAATTCACTTGATCAGGTCTAATATATATTATGAGTAATTGTTGCAAGATCTTATTCATATGTTTTGTTTGGTCGTTTGTCTCTGGATGACGACTGGACGACATCAGCAGCTTAGAACCGTAAACTTCCATGAGATCTTGCAAGTTGTGGCTGGTAAGCCGCATGTCTCTATCACTAACTATTGACAGTGGTATGCCATGCTCACTTACCCAAAAATCAAAGAACTTCTCTATGACTAATTTGATTCTTGCCTTTGCGGGCAAAGGTAAGAAAACAACATACTTACTAAATCGATCTATTTGGACCATGACTTCACTTTTTCCATGCCTATTCCTGACCCCCGCATCCATGAAGTCAATGGAAACAGACTCTTCGGGTCCTGTTGGGATAGGCAAGGGTCTAAGAAGACCTAGAGGTGCTCTTGTTGTTGTTTTGTTGCGTTGGCAGACTTTGCAGCCGCGGACATACTCTATACAGTTGGCTTTCATGCCAGGCCATGTATACGACATCGATAGGTTGGCTAAAGTCTTTTGCCAGCCGAAGTGTCCTTCTGTATCATTGCATTCCCCTAGGATCAAACTACGGATCTCTTCACGATTGGGAACGCACAGTCTATCAACGACATTGGTATTCTCA